TTATGATTTCTGAGAAAACTCTGATGTGAAACCTATTTTAAAAACAAATTGTAATGAATGATGGTTTTGTGTTTGTTAAAAAAGTTTAAATTTTTCAAAAAGTTTATGAATGTTACATCCTTTCAGACCCTAGGAGGGGTCCTTGGCCCTAAAAATGAAGTCCCTTTGGTTAGATTTGCTCGATGCATCTTGTAGGAGGTCTTAATGGATTAAGACCTTGTGTTAAGCTCTTACTAGGCGTGTAAAGTCATAAATTTGGAAACTTTATGACTCTAGGGTGTGTTTTGATCATGGATCTGAAATATGGGCTTCAGTGCTTAAGCCATTAAGCACTAAATAGAGTTTAAAGGATGTGAGGGTAAGCCCCACGTACATGGGAGTACGCCTTGCGTATTCAGTCAATCACCCCGATGAGCAGTCTTCTGCGAGGCTTCACGTACGCTAAGCGTACCTTGCGAGTACGCCCCGCGTACTCGCATGGGTCAGCCTTGACGAGTTGACTCGGCTAGGTTGACTCGGTTGACTTAATGGCTTGACCACTTGACTTTGACTTTGACCAAGTGACCTTGACGTTATTTGGGGTATTTTGGGATTTTAATGGAATTGGTCACTTGGTGGAAATAGGTATCGGTTAGAGAGATAAGATTCGGAGTCGGACCTAATCTGTTCTGTTCAGTTTGCGAGGTGAGTTTTCATCCTTGTACTTACGGGTCGAAGACACCAAGGTCGACCCATTGGATTGATATCCTATTATGTATGCTATTGTACTGTAGTGATCTATTAGATCAGTATCCTGGTATATAGGATGATGTTATGCTTAGTGATCTGTAGATCTGTTGACTGGCTGTAGACTGTTATACGATTATCTGTTATATGTGCACATGTTTGGTTGGTGGCTGAGGCTTCACTGCTTTGTGTATAAACCAACAGGCCGGGGCATACCAACCCGATGGTTGAATGGGCCCAAGGGTATTCCATCCAGAGGATGATTGGATCCATAGTATGTTGGCATTCCAACCCGATGGTTGATGGCCTGGGGTATTCCAACCCGATGGTTGATTGAACCCATATTATGTCCGCATTCCTACCCGATGGTTGAGGGGCCTTAGGTATTCCAACCCGATGGTTGATTGGACCCATAGTATGCTGTTTGTTGTTACTATTGTGATTATGTGTTGTGTTGGTACTTTGGGGAATTCTCTAACCTTTGGGCTTATAGTTTTGGGTTATGTTTCAGGTACCTCACATGACTGTGGAAAGGCGAAGGAGTGATCGTACACCTCCTCGTGTTTTGGTTTATGATTTTGGGAAAACTCTGATATTAAACATGTTTTGAAAACTATATTGTAAACAATGATGATTTGTGGATTGATTTTAAAAGTTCAAAATTTTCATGATTTTTATGGGTGTTACATGAAGAGCTTAATGGACTTAAGCTTTAGATTTGTGGTTAATTAGGCATTGATGATGGATAAAGTTGGAAAATTTATCCATTAAGACGATTAGGAGATTTAGATATAAAGGATTGGACTTTTGGAGTAGGTTCATGTAGTTGATTATTTCCTTAAGAAGTATGTTGTTAATCCTGTTTCACTGCGCGATGAGTTTTGGAACTCGCGGTGCGAGATTTGGGCAAATCACGACTAATTTATCACGTTGTGGTAATGACAATGAATTAGTGGTCTCGACGCGACCGTTGACTTTGGCCTGTTAGGAGTTTTAGTCAACTGGAGATCTTTAGTTGTAGGCTGAGATTTAGCCTACAATTGGTTAGACGGTTCACGTAGTTGATTCGTTGGACTTCGAGTAATTAGATTCAGCTCTTTGATTCAGGTGAGTCTTCTTACTATATTATGAGGACACTAGGTGTTATGGTATGCTATATTGTCTTTGTGACTTTGTATGAAAGACTATGGTTGGATAATATCACTTGTATGAAAGACCATGGTTGGATCATAGCACTGATATGAAAGACTATGGTTGTATCCTAGCAATTGTATAAAAGATTATGGTTTCACCATAGTAATTGCATGAAAGACTATGGTTAGATGATATCATGGAAGACTTTATAAAAAAAATAGAAAAACATTAGTTATTAAGAAAAATACATGACATTAAGTTTGGCTGTTCAAGTCAATCTGACCAAAACCCTTGAAATGATACAAATTAATACAATGTCGGTCTAAATTATATCTATAGTAGCTATATGGTTTAACAAACACCCTTAAAGCCAAAAATATTTACTTTTATCAACACTAAATTATTCTAACTCATTGAACAATTATACACTAATAAATTACTATCTACAAATGTCGGATTGAAGACATCAAATAGGTTTCTGTTCCTCTTAAATCACACCACCAATAATCTTCTAGATGCATGATAACAACACGTGTAAGAATCTCAAAAGGTATAATAAAAGGCTTCTTCAAATCCGGAATGAATCAGACACTTTTAAAGTTTCACCATATGTCACTATACATAGAAGCGATGAACCTATATTTGAACGTCTCCAACTCAAAATTTCTTGAAAATGGAATTTGTAAGGATCGAGATCCAATCCACATATCATTCCAAAGTCAATATGATTACCATTACTAGTATTTTAAAACATTAACTCATCGTCTTGAGGATTTTGATCTTCAAATGTATCTAATGCACATATAATTCTATTCAAAGGAGTTACTTTACCTCTCCCTTTATCAAAGTGACAAAAACGACCATATTTACCATGACTACTTTTGATGAAAGTCACCCATAGTAGGAAATGAGCTACTAACTCTTAAATTGTCACCATCATTTTATCAAAAGAGTCTAACAAGTAGCAAATAAGTTATTAACTCAATTCAAGCATTGATATTCATTCCCTAATGATCTTTACAAAGCTTTTTTTGAACGAAAACATTATATTAAAACCAAAAGAAAACAAGCTAGAAGCTTGCCAAAAAAACACAAGCAGTTTAAGTCAAGATTGAGTGTTGTATCCAAGAGACCCAATTTACCCTAGCTGTAGAGTTTCTATACGAAAATCAAGAGAAGAATTATCTACAATATTATAAAAAGTAAACTGTTTTTTTTAAACTTAGATTGCCGGAACATAACAACATTCTGATAAATCCAAAACACTCAAATGACTACCATTAAAAAAATTGTGTTTTAAACATAGATTGCCACAGGATAATATTCCGATAAGTCCAAAGCACCCTTATGATTTCTACAAAGTGACTTGATTTGTAAGGTTTCTTGTGACCAGGTTAATTATATTAAGGGTTAATGTCATAAAATGGCTACATATAACTTTCAATTTGCTATTTAAATGGCTGATTTTTTACTGTGTTCAATAGAGCAATACAATTTTTCTTAATGTTTCATTACACCATTAAAATGAATTTCAGCGTCTTATGTCATGAAACATAAACGCCATGTTATCGAGTTTAAAATCGATGAGAAGGAAATGAAAGACGAGAAGGAAATGAAAGGAAATAGAGAAGGAAAAATTCTTCCCATGAGGATCAACATTTGGGAGGATAGATTTCAAATGAAAAAATGTTCCATTTTTCTTATGTTTTTTTTTCTCTTCTTAAATGAAATTCAAGAACACGACTCATTTTTTTTATATATTTTTTCCTTAAAAAAACTCAAAAACATAGTTTTCCTCTATTTCCTTCATTTTCATTTCTAATAAAAACTAAACTTAAGTGAAATAAAAACTATTGCCATAATATCTCCGATTAAAATATGATCGAGTTAAAAAAACAAATAGAGAGTTGGTAATTATCATTTTGGGACATTAACCTTTATATTAATTAGCATATAGTGCATTTTTGTTAAGATACTAAATAAAAACATATTTTAGATTTTATTAATAAAAACATTAAAAAAAACATCAATTGAAATATAAAAAAAATACACCACATAAGAAATCTACTGAAAATTTAATATTACATACATTTAACCACATACCTAAAAGTAATTCAAAGACTGTCTTTAACTTTTAGAGAAAGAGTGTCAAATACACCGTAGCTCAAAGTGGGATAGCTTCCTCTATAAAACACCTAAAATAACTTTTGGTAAAATAAAAATCCAAGAAGTATTGATTTCTTTTTGCTTTATATGATTGTACTTGTACCAAACCCCAATCCAACCTTTGTACAAAAGATCTTAGACCCTCTCTTGTTTCCTGTTTTAAACTCTCGAACTTCACCAAGTGGGAACTATAGAATCTTGAATCTCTATACATTTTTTAAAGAATCGTGAAAAGGGTATTCTACTGCACTGATCTGTCTCCTTTTTCTTTGTTTCTTTCTGGAAAAAAATGTGGTTTCTTGAAGCGGGGATTCAAGCATAGTAATCTTTTTGTTCATGTGTAAAATTGGAGGTGGGAATTGTAGAAACTTGTATCTTGGTTCAACTTTTAAAGATTATTGAAATCGATATCTTACCACATTGATTTCATTCACATTTTTCTTCGTTATTTTCTTAAAGTGGGTAATCAAGTATAGAGAACTTATGAAAACTAGAAGTGGGTGTTACAGAATCTTAAATGTTTATGCAAGTTTTAAGGATTCTTGAAATGGGTATTCTACAACACTAATAATTTATATCCCCCTCTGTTTTTCTGCTTAATTTTCAAGTTTTTTGAAGTGGGTATTCTAGCAAACCTCTCTCTCTAGAAGTTAAGTTTTGTGAGGTGGGTATCCTAGAAAACGACCTTCTCTCTCTAGACTTCAAGTTTCTTGAAGTGGGTATTCTACCAAAAACAATCTGTGTCTTAGGTATGTGCTAAATTTGAAGTTTCTTGAAGTGGGTGTTCTAGTAAACCACAAAATCTCTTTGTTTTTCTGCTAAAAGTTGAAATTTCTTGAACTGCGTAGTGACAAAATTCTCTCTAATTTATTATTATTATTAATACAGATTACAAATTTCTTGAAGTGGGTAGTGATCAAGATTCCTAAAGAAAACCAGAAAAAGTCTTTTATTTTGGGTTATTGATTCAAGAAATGGGAGTTATTGAAAGATTGGTTTGGATGAACAGTTGCTCAAAGAAACAATGTAGAAGCTTGCTTTGGAGAATGAGAGCTGCCATGAAAAAAGCAGTGAAGAAACACACATTTTTTGTGGCTTTTTATGGAGGTCCCAAGAGACAATTCAATTTTCAATATGATCCTTCAAGCTATGCTCTCAACTTTGATGATGGTACCCATTACCATTATCATCATATTCATAATGTGGTGGTGCATCATAAAATTACCGAAGTACCCCTGCCAAAACAACAACAAGAATCACATCCTTCAAGTACTACTACATCTGCATGGGTCTATGTTATTTGGGTCGGATCTTTCTAGTGTCTTACTTCTTTAGAGTCAGAATCTTCATGCAATACTTGGGTTAGGTTAATTCCGGTCGGATCTTTCTAGTGTTTCTATGTTTTTTAGTTTTCTTTCTTAGGCTTATTAAAGTAGGTTTTGGGTCATTGGCCCGGCCCGCGTCGACCCGGTTCGGTGTTCTGAGAAATGGAAAGAGGTATGAAGTATGAACTTTTTGCATGGATACCTGATAGAAATGGAATTTTAGTTCTTTGCAATTACGCCCTTAAATTATAGTTATTTACATTTTCTCCCCTCATTCTCTAGTTTCCACTTCTGAACATCTTTTTATATAATTATTTGAATTTGATTACTAGATATTATCACTAATCATTCCTAACATACACGAGATGGTGTATTAAACTTTTAAGGTAACCAATTTCATAGTGTTAAATAGTCATATATAACTTAACTTTGATATGTTTTTTACTGGGGAAGAGGCTATGTCTGATTTGGTTTTAAATTGGGTCTGTTTACAGCCATTTGATATATATGTCTTTTACTGTGAGTTTGATAAAAGGTTGATGATTTGGTTTTTTACTGGGTCTGTTTAAAGCCAGTTTGATATAGCCTCTGATATGTCTTTTTTATCGTGGGTGTGATAAAAGGTTGAGTCTGAATTAATGAATTAATGAATAACTATCAAATAATCTAAACATTTTTATGTTCTATTAAAATTATTATGCGGAAAAGAACAAAAGTGTTGATAGGTTGAAATCTAAATACTATGCTTACCTCATAGAGACAGAATAGGTAAAGTACATGTCATTGAATTATGGGGAGTTTAAACTAGTTATAAAACAAGACCCTTAAATTGTACTTGTGATTAAAGTGAAGGGTGACCTTCTGTTAACTTTTTGAAAAAGTCGTAGCTTTTTAATGGTCCTCACGTTTAAAGGGCTAGAGACCAAGTACTAAAAACGTGCATAACCATGGAATTCAAACTTTATAAATTTATCCATCAGATAACCGATGTTATCGTTATGGGAAAATGACACTAAAACGAGTTTGGAAATGCTTCTCATAAGTTACTACGATGATTTTGTTGGTCAAGGATGAATACCAAAGTTATAAAAAAAACAAGATTAAGACGTGTTTGGACATGCTTTTCATAAGTTATTATGGTGATTTTATGAGATTGGTCAAAGATTGGAGTACATGGTTACCAAAAAAAAAAAAAAAACTAATTTGTTTGTATAAAATCTATATTTTTATTGGTTGAGAGTGTAACTATTAGACAAGAGAATGTGAAAATTGAATATCTTCTGTGAAATATAAGAATCATCACATTTCTTATTTTTTCTAAGTTAATAGAAAAAAAAAACTCTAACTTCAAACGTTCATCAGCACTGTTTTATATGAGCCCATATTTAGTCCATTTTTTTATCTATATATTATTTATCAAGTGGACTACAACTTTCATTTAGAAAGCTTTAAAGCAAGCTACTTAGTTATCTTTGAACTTTCCAAAAATCACTATTTTTTACATAGCCTTAAAAGAAAATCTTTCCATTCATTTCAAACCACTCATACACTAGTAATAACAACTTCTGGAGCTTAATACATGTATTCCTTCTTGAATTTAAGTTTTTAAACACATTTTTCTTTTTCAAAATTTACATACCGAATGAGTTTAAGAGTTTAAATTCAAAAATGAATGCATGTATTAAGTTCCATAAGTTTTTATTAATAGTACATGAATGGCAAGGCTTCCTTGAATGTTATGTGAAAAATAGTGGTTTTTTGAAAAGTTGAAAAATTGTTAAATAGTTTACTTTGGAGCATTATAACTAGAGATGTAGAGCCCATATATAGTAGCTTTCTAAATGAAAGTTGTAGCCAACATGATCATTAATTCATAGATAAAAGGATCGATAACATCCAAGTTATGAAATAGTTATGGATGTTCAAAGTTAGAAAAAAAAAGTTTTCATGATGCGAAGAATTAATAAATAATTCTAAGTTTTGGAAAAATGTCTCAACAAACTAGGATGCCTGATTTGGAGTTTTTAAAGGGGGACTTCCAATGTTCAAATATCAATTCTAATATATCAATGTAAGGACCCTTGCAACAAATAACGTAATTATAAATTAATCGGTCAATCAAAGATTTATATGAAGATTTATATGAGGAATATATGTGGATTATAATGTTATATTACTCATTTCTTTTATTTATTTATTTACTTATTATTATTATTATTATTATTATTATTATTATTTTTTGCAGTTAACGAATTGGACTGAATTTATCTTTTTCTCTTATATAATTGGTAATTTCTGACCAACTTTAATAAAAATAAATTGTAATTATAAAAGTTTAAAGTATTTTCATTAAAAAAACGGTCAAGGTTATGTTTTACATGCTACAGTTAGCTTATAAGTTAGTTTATTTATCAGGTTATGTATTAAAAAGTTATCCAGACTAACGTTTCAACAAGCTTATTGAGTTTTTTCAAAAAAAAAAAACAAAAAAAAAAAAACAAATATACTATTTTTTAATTATATAAAAACTCAATCTTTACATGTCATTTTATATATTTCAGCTATCTTATTAACTAGTTTTACCAAATGTTAATTTTTTATATAAAAAAAAATAGCAGTTAACTTTTCATATATTTTTGTTAACCAAAATATAACATTAGCCTAACTCATGCATCCACTATTTTACTAGATCCTAATCGATATTTTTGTTACAAGCGAGACTTGAGCTCTTTAGCTGAGGACCTAACTTTCAATAAAGAATGTATCTTTATGTAGACATATAATGTCACATACAAACAAATCGATAAAAATAACTTTCTCGGATATTCTTTTCCGAAAATATAAAAGATGATAAAATTTTCACATTTTAAGTAAAAAATAAAAACGATAAAATATTATCTAATGGAGGAAATGACCATGAGTGTTTGGATCAGACCTCCTAGTTGTTCGAATGGTGATGGTTGAAGCGGAAAACGGTCGGCTTAGTGGCGGATATGAAAGATTCTGATTAATTATGAAGAGGTTGTCGCAGGTGGCTACCGACAACGTTGGATGGAGTTTCCATCGGACCTTCAGTGAAGGTGATTGGAAGTGGTCCTGACGATTTTCCAAGGTAGGAGGTGACACTTTTGGGTATTCTTGCGACTTTATGGCGGAACCAATAAAATTAAAAAAAATTAATATTATATTTTGGAAACAAGTTAATAATCCAATGAAATACTATTTACTAACATAAAGAAATGAATAAACTAAAAGTAATAATCTAATAAAAGGGAATTAATTCAATTAAAAAATTAATTTAAAAAAATTGATAATTTAATAAAATAATAATTATTAATATATAAATATTATATAAGATAAATAATATTTATTAATATATAATAATTCAAGAAAATTAAAAAGAAGGGATGTAAAATTAGTACTTCTAGTTTGGTAAAAAGACAAAAGTACAAAAATGGTCCCTATGGTTTAAGAATAAAATGTCATTTAAAAAATTAACAACCTGTTAAGAGTTCTGTCCCGTCGATACCTTTTCGTCGATATATCGCAGACCTTCAAATTCCTTATGGTTCAAAACGGATATCTGTTTCAAGTTAGGTATCTTTTGGTCCTGTTTATCTTTCTCCTACATGTCCATAAAAGCTTCCGTCAGAGCATCTATGTGCTCCACATTATTAAACGACCAAAAATAACCATTTTTGCAAGTTGAAATATTTTTTAGACCTTAGCTAACGAAATGTGCAAATTATAGGGATCATTTATGTAGTTTTGTCGATATTTAATATTGTTTTATTTTGAAAGTTTTGAAAAAAAATTAAATGATAGATTTTTTATAAAATGTATTCATTTTTATTTTATATATTTAATTAAAGAGATAATAAAAAGAATAATAAAGTTTTTAGGGAAAATGAAATAAAACCCCTTAAGTTTACACAGTTTTATTGGTTTTACCCTTTTTTGCATCTTTTTTCTAAGATTTACCCCATAAATTTCATTAAAGTTTATGGTTTTACTGTTTTTACATTTTCAACTGTTTTAGCTTTCCTTAAAGAGAAACTCGCAAGTAAACTCTTATGTTTGCAACCGAAGCGCTTAAAGCTAGCGATATCAAGACTTGACGGAAAGGTGTCCCATAGCCAAATGTTAAAGATTCAAGTCTCGCTAGATACTAAAGATATAGATTTATGAATATGATAGTGGGTGCATGTGTAGCCGTTCTAAAAAAACTCTTAAGTTTGCAAAAATATACGTATTACTTTATGTATGTTTTTTGTTATTTGTTTTTTTTTTCAGTTTTACTTAATATTTTTTTGCTAACTTTATTAATTTATTAATTTACTCATTTAACCTTTTTCTGATTCACAATAATTGAGCATTTTATGTTGACGTGTCATGCTTTGTTGGCATCTTATAAAAGGTAGTAGGAAGAATGGTGACAATGATGCTTGAATTCGATACCTCCGGACCTCCCGCACATAATATATATGTCTTATTAGTTAACCAAACAATGTTTTCATAAATAACATTACTTTAATTGCAAAATTATATATAAGTAATGTTACTTTACTTATACTTTTGTAACTATCATAATGTATATAATTGACGCTACTTAGGGTAAGGTGCTTGTCTTATATCCGAAAGGTTTTTATATTTATGTTTTTTTATTAACTCTTCTATTAGAAAATGATATTCAATTTTTTACTGTAAATTTATAAGACGTTTCTTAAAATAACAACCCTAAAAAAACATTGGCATTAAGATCTACTTGAACAAGATGACTCCTAATACATGAATAATAATAGGAATAAGCATTCATATGATATCTTAGACATCATTGTTGGCGGGTCAAAATACATTGACCCAACCCAACCCATATAATATATGGGTTGGCGGGTTGAAAACATCAACTCAACCGAACCCATATAACCCGTATAAGTATATGGGTTCGTGGGGTAGTGGGTCGAACCCAACCTGTATAACCCATTTAATAAGCAACACATTTTAAAATGAAATTAAAAAATACAAATAAAATGAAGTCATAAAGTCTTAAATATTCAACATAAACTCATAAGCATAAAGTCATAAACAAGAGTGACGACGACGAGTGGTGTGCGACAGCCGAAGGACGAGAAGACGAGTGGTGTGCGTGCGACACTGCGACAGTCGATGACTCGATCGACGGAGACGGGAGACACGGAGTCGTGAGTTTGGAGATTGAAGATTGAATTTCTTTTTGATTAGGGGCTTTTTAGGGGCTAGGACACGCTAAGTCGACTCGAAGATGTTTTGCAGTTTTGGAATTCGGAAAACGATTAAACGATAATCAAATATTCAAAACTAATAAATAATTAAATATATTTTTTAAACATTATATATATATATATATATATATATATATATATATATATATATATATATATATATAAATATAAAATCGGGTTGGCTGGTTGACCCGCGAACCCAAATAGGTAACCCAACCCAACCCATGAAATAAACGGGTTGGCGGGTCAAAAATCTCAACCCAAAATCGTTTATTTTCGTGTTGGGTCAGTGTCGGGTTACGGGTTGGGTCGATGATTGCCACCCCTAGGGGGGTCTTATTTAGCTTAATAAACATTTTTTGATAATGGCGTTTATCAGCTTATGTGATGATAATATATATATATATATATAGATATATATTATATATTATATATATATATATATATATTATATATATATATATATAATAATATAAAAAGCATTTAGAACTATTTTTGTATTTTTACATATAATATTTTATATAAAAATATTAAGTTATAAGCTAAAAAGGTTACGTTCTAATAAAGGTATTATATTATTTTCATCTTTATAAGTTGTAAGCTTTTTTAAAAAGTAAAAAAAAAAAGTGTCTTATGAAAAATGGTTTTCTTATGGCGGAAAAAGTTATTTCTAAAAATGTTAATCAACTCTCCATGAGTTTTAAGCTTATTGACTTTTTGAAAATAAAATATACTGTTTGGTTTGCTGAATGTTGCTCAAGGAATTTGAATTGGAATTGAGAAAGGAATATGTCAGGAATTTGAATCCAATTTTATATGTTATTTGATTGGTAGGAAATGAAATTGGAATTAATTCAAGAATTTGTTTGGTTCGTAGGAAATGGAATTAAAATTCATGTAAAATAACATAATTACCCTTTTTGTCTGTTTTTGCTTAATTTTACCTTGGTTTCTAACTTATATGTAAAAATATATTATGAAAATTATAAAAACGTAAAATTTCGGCGGTGGTGGAAGTGGTGGTGGGGACAGTGGGGGTGGTGGCGGCGACAGTGGTGGGTGGCGGTGATGGTGGCTTCGACGGTGGTGGTGATAGTGGTGGTGGCACTGATTGTGGTAACGGAAGTGGTGGTGATGGTGGCAGTGTCAGTTGGTGGTGACAGCGACGGCGGTGATGGTGCTGGTGGTAGCAGCGGCGGCGACGGTGGTAGCGGCGATGGTGATAGTGCTGGTGGCGTCGCAGGCAGTGGCAGTGGTGGTGGTGGTGGGTGGTGGTGGCGGCGGTGGTGGTGGGTGGTGGTCATGGCGGTGGTAGTAGTGGTCGGTGGCAGTGACGGCGGTGGTAGTGGTTGTGGCGGCAACGATGGTGGTGGTGGTGGTCGGTGGGGCGGCATCTGACTGTCATTGATGAGAAAGAATGTTTTCCATCCAATTTTGGAAGGAATTCACTTTTCCTCCATATAGTGGAAACTTTATTTCATTTAGGAATCATTTTTCCTCTTCTATGTCCAACCAAACACATGATGAATTCGAGGGAATTGGAATCATTTTCCCTCGAATTCCATTTCTTTCATGCCAACCAAACGCACCCTAAGAAAGTCAATAAATAATTGGGATAATGTCACTGTAACACATTCAACTTTTGTCATTTGTCCGATTTGGTCATTAATTTTTTTTTTGCACATTAAACCATTAAACTCGTTATTGACTTGCCAATTATACCATTACTCCCGAATTTAAAATGTTTCCCCGTTGCTTTGCTGATGTGTCATTAATAATCAGTTTGTAAATATTTTTTGGTAGCCACATGTATAAATCCATGTCAACTTTGTCCATCACCATCAAAACCATCCACAATGATCATCAACCATCAACAAAATTTAAAGACTGTACATTTTCTACAAAGAAAACCACATTTCGTACATATCCAGAAACCAAAAAGAACCATTAATCACCATCTCGGAAGAGTAAATGAAGAAAGAAACCCAAAAAATTGATTTCATAACCAAAAAAACCCATTAATCATCGATGATTGTAAAGAACAAATTGGTAGGAGCTTTAAAACGAATCTGAACACCACTGCATAAGATCCATGCCAAAGTGGTGGACTCATCTATTTTCGAATACTTAGTTTCCTCCCAACCACCGAACAACGCCTTAACATCACCCATTCTCCATCTGTACACCACTAAAACCTGCACATAAAACACCCACCATCGCCCCATCATCCTCTTCATCCTAACATCACCATCTTCATCCCAACATCAGAAATACAAATTTAAAAGGGAAGAACTTTGATTTCTGTTTTATGCTACCGATAAACACACACATAAATAAAAAGGGATCAAGCCACTACAACTGTTTCAAGAAGAACAGGAGCTTTTGGCTGTGATCGATACGCAGAATCAAAGGGTAGGATCTCGATTTTGAAAGCTTATTGTTTAATTGTAATCAGATTACCTTGGAAAGCTTATTGTTTCATTTGTATCTTTTCTTGTTTTTGTTCATGGGTTCGAGTTTGTTCATGGGTTTGAGTTTTGAAGACGAACCCAGTAACAAGAATCATGACTTCTTCATCGAAACTTCATCATCACCTGGGATAAAAGAGTTCACCTTCCTCTGATGCCTTTGACGATGCCCTTCAATGAAACCGACAATCCCGACGAAACCGACGCCGACCTCCTACGAAAACAAATCCTTTATGTTACCACTTTGAATACATGTTTTGTGTTGATTTTTGAAGCTTTAATTGGCTGGCATCTAGCTGCAAATGACGGAGATGATTCTTCAAAATGGCTATGATCGGTGTTGGGGACCGGTTGTGGCGGCGGTTCTTCACATTCGTACAATGAGTGTTAATTTAGGGTTTCTATTTGGAGGAAATAAAACAAAAAATTAAAAAGGAAAAGCCATGTAGATTAAGATGTGATTTTTTAATTTTGAAATAATAAAAAAAAAGCCACCTAGATCAAGGGTAACCGGGAAACCTTTTAAATTCGGGAATAATGATATAATTGGCAGGTCAATAACGAGTTTAATGGTTTAATGTGCAAAAAAAAAAAATTTAATGATCAAATCGGACAAATGACAAAAGTTGAATGTGCTACACTGACATTATCCCTAAATAATTTTCAAACTTATCCCAAACACCCGTTAAGAAACTAGAAAGTGAATCACAACATATATACTAGTAATAACGTTAAGAAAAAAAAAATACCCAATCAACAAAATATGCCAAATTAGCGTAAATCGGGAAAAAAAAATATAAAATGAGTAAAATCAAAGAGTTGCATAAAATTGTTGGAAAAAATGAAAAAAAAAAAGAAAAAAAAGGAAGTATTTCGGATAAAACCATAAAATTGATTAAACTTAAGGTCTTTTATTGCAATTCCCCAAAGATTTACATACTTCGGATATAAAAAAAAATGTATGGATCAAAATAGAAAAAACCTACAGGATGAAGAGGTTTGAAGCCTTGAATGGCTTCTCAAAAAAAAAAAAAAAAAAAAAAAAAAAAAAAAACCACTCCACTAGTAAAAATTTATGTTAAAGGTTATTCAAAGAATAATAAATAATTAAAATCACCTACCATTAAAAATGCTCTAACTACAATTTTTTTTTGACAAACGAAGAGAATCTAAATGCATAAAAACAAGGGTGGATGTAAAAAAAATAATAATACACTTCCATTCATTTGTATATGGTAACATCCCATTTTCATTTCTTTCTTTCAACCTTTACATGGAGTAATTAACATTTTTGGTCCCTGAATATAGCTAAATTTTACAATTTTTATCCCAAAAATTTATGAAGCAATTTTGTTCTTTATTAGATGTTTTCTTAATGCTGACTATTTTTTGGTACCTATGTATAACTGTTTTTTGTAATTTTGAGCCAAAAAATATAGTAATTAACTTGGAACAGAGACCAAAAACATGTAAATTACTCTTCTACATATGGAATTGTGCTTTGTAAAATCTACACAACTATAGCATTTGTACTTTGAATACTTTTCTAATTAGGACATTATACTTTGAAAATTCTATCATTTTGTGTATAAATGATATCACAAATAAATGAAAGTATGTTGTTATTTCTTGCAACTACCCCTACTTTTTTGTGCAAACTCCATTTGTTTAAGAAAATACCAAAGAAAAAGAGACTTGTTAACATTCAAAATCATTTAGAAACTCCACTTCATTTTACAAGAGATCACAGGCCACTAACAATTGTGTTTACAACTAAAGGATTTTAAAGATGGCAACACACACACACATTTCAAGAAAACCTGGAATTTGCAAGTAACAAATGTTTAAGTAGTTTGACCAAGTCAAAATCAAAGTCAAACAGCGGGGTCTTCAAGTGTGGCTGTGAAAAGATCTGTGATGCGTGGATAAGCTGCCTTTTCATCAAGCTGATTTTGAGCCCATAAAAGCATTCTTAATAAACTTGGCAGCTTCGGATCTGTCAATCGGATCTCATTCAGTCAATGCTAAATAAATAAAAATACAAAGATTCATGGATAATTGGATTTAAATAAAAAAAAAAAAAAGTAACCTTTTTCATGGCTTTGACTTGTAAGGATTGCAGCATTGACCTCACTTGCAGTTTTTAGACGTTGAGATATGTCTAAAAGATCTCCAACAGGGCTATTCTTCACATCTTCAAATGCCAGCAGGGCAACTGTTCTCTCCAATTCCTCTAGAAAGCTTTGCTGCAATGGTGGGAGTTTATCAGATAAAGGGCATTTTCGGCATATCAAATTGACTATTATTAGTATAAGAAGTTACATTTTCCTCTCCCCTTGGAGCAAGCTCCTCCTGTGCAAATTCCAGAGCTTCTTCAATCTTTCCATTTCTAATCAATTCAATCAACCTTTGCTGCTGCAGATGGAAAAATAGCTGTGGGTTTGTATCTAGAATCTGCATAAAACATATATGGGTTGAAACATTCAAAAAGAAAATAGTAAAATGTCTAGAAAGCCCTTCAATAATTTGTAATCATGACAATAAACTAACCTCAGGATTCAAATCATTAACCTTTTCAATTGCATCTTCAACGTTCCCTGACTGAACAGCTTTTTTAACAGCCATACGATCTGTAATGGTTGCAAGATCTATATCCGCTGTTTATATTATTAAGGAAATTCATATAAAAGGAAGAAAATGATTCAAATTGACACATTAACATTGAAAAATAAATAAATAAACTCATTAAAGAGATGAAAATGGATGCGTTCTGTTCCAGATTCCATTCGGAACTTTTCTGCTGCATCAACATATCCCTCAGTGACAAGAAAATTCATAACCAATTTGTTCATGTCTTCTTTTCGGATTTTAACATCATTAAGCTTTTTCTCCCATTCATCTCTTGTTATTACCTTCTTTGAAGTAGCCTATATATAATAATAAATTGTAAATAACAACATTGTCAAATCCATCATAAGAAAAAGACGTGGGGAACTTGAAAACAATTGGGCTCTGACAGTGATTTGCAATTTTATCTGTTATTAATCTTTTCAACCTTGAAAACAATATCGTTTAGGTTTACAATTTTCAAATAGAAAACAAAAAGTTTGCATCTGTTCACAATCAGGTTTGAACCAAACTTGGTTCAGTTCAATTTGATTTTCGATTATATTACTTTTTTTCAAAGCCGATGAACAGCCATAACTATAAACTGTCTGAAGATAGATTAATTTACAATTCCAGATCTCCTGAAACTTACATATCGCGGGTAATGTACAAATTTAACTGCATCAGGTACAAGTACTAATTAACCTTCTACATAACCATATCGTTATATGTTCAAGCAGAGTTGCAGATATTATTCATGAAAAAACAAATGAATAATCGATTCGTAACCATTAATCTCGATTAAACCCTAATAAGTAAGAATTACAATATTCATTTCAAAAAAACGTAAAGCCCTAAACTCAAAATTACAAAAATCACAACAACAACAACAACAACCTTTAACTACACAGCTGATTGTATCGGGGCAGGGAATATGATTTAATTTTCTCGAAGAACGAATGGGAAAAAAAGGGATAAGTTATTACCATGGCTTCAATTTCTGCTAGTTGACGGATGACACTCCAAAACAATGACATCAGTTTACTGCTCTAACCTTCAAACCCATCTAAAGAATCGTAACACTTTGATCAGTTTGATTGAATTTCGACTTTTGAATTTTGTAGATCGAGAAAAGAAGAAGAACAATCGGGTTTTATGCGTGTATTGATTGGGGAACTATCGATCAAATATGATTTTTTAAAACTGACCCCTGGGGTTATGGATATTATTTTTTAGCCCAATCTTTGAAATTTGGTTTTTTCTATCTTCCTTGGTCTTTAATTATATAGGAATCTAATGGATTTTTATATAAACGTTTTTATTATATTCAAGAGTAAATTAATGACATCTTCTTCTTCTTTTTTTCACTCGGCACAATCCCAAATATTTTTTTAAGGTTTGTGTTACTCATGAAATATTATATTCCTTTATCATATTCTAATCATCATAATATTCTTTCCACATCGGCATCTACCGTTTCATGGTAAACAATTATCGTTGCCACTTTCTACTACACCTTTCTCTACTCAGCTAACTTATGACTATTGTTCGTTACTCCGGCTATCTCTACTCCCTCTCGTCGGAAACCCACATCGAACAACCTACTACTGCCACCTCTTTACTTCGTCTCTCTTTAACTCATGCAAAAATTGACTCTTTCCGACGACCCTTATGTAATACCCGTTTTTCACAACATATATTATTGTTTACGTATGGAAAGGATTTAGTGGAATAACGTGATTGATTACTCCGAGACGATTCTGTGGATATAAAGATCGTCGAAAACGGAGTTCGTATGAGGAAGTTATGACCGTTTGAAGTTAGGGTAAAAGTATGTTGTTGTTTTGAGAAAGTCAACAAAAGTCAAAGTCAAACGGTCAACTTTTGGGTTACCACAGCGTGGTAGTGGTTGAGTCACCGAGACACATGTTGAGCGTTGAAGGACACGCGGTATGAAGACGAAATACGTGGCAAGTCGGAAACCGCTTGAACACCACAACGTGGTCAATAAACCACAACAGCGTGGTCGTGCGCAAGTATACATAGATTTCATTTGTGTCATTTTGAAGGTTTTTGCGCAGTAGGTGAGTAATCTCACTTCTTTTCTAGATATATATTGTCTAGATGTATGTTATTGTTGTATTGTGTTGATTACGTGTTAAATACAATAGTATGATTATTGTGTATTGTTATGTTTAGAATTGGAACCCGTAAGGTTACACTTGTACTTTGGTACGGGAGAATTACAGGTCAACGACCGACTTTAGTTTCTGAACGCTATACTTGTAGATTGATATTGGTTAATGTAAGTCAATGTCGGACTTAGTGTTTGAACGTCATACTTGTATACTGTTAAGAAATGTGAACTGGTAATGGATATTTAAAAGTTATAGAGTAATATAATTATGGAAATGATTTGAATTATTAGTTTATGATGGTATCCTTGGTGGCTGTAATATCATCAATAGAGAAATGTAAATTTATAGCGAACTTAGTGTCAGTGGTGTTATATTTGAAGGATTATTGCAGAAGAGTGATGATAGTCTTGGTGACTGTAATACCATTAGTAGATGAATTAGTAATTTATGTAATATTAATTACTATCAAGAGAAGTTATAGAAATTAATAGTAGCTAACATGACTATAACTCTATTATGCCTTCTGAGTAAGTGGAATGTTTGATAGTATGGTTAGTGACATTGCATGTTTATTGAGTTGCAAGATGTTGGTGTACCGTTAGTGTACATATATGTGTTAGACTAAAGTAGTTTTGTTGGCCGTAAGGTAATGTGATAAGGTTATATATATATATATATCATTGATAAAATTATAACAAGAACAATATTGTGTCCTAAATTGATAGGACTGAAATTGATGGTAGCATGGGTTATTGTAATCTTATATTTGAGGAATGTAAGCTAATGATGGATTTAGTATCTATAACACTGTACTTCTATATTATTTTGAAAGAAGTAGTGGTATGCTTGGTGCTGTAATTACCATTGTGCGGGGGATCAGTTGTTAGTGGTATGCTTAGTGCTGTAATTACCATTGTTTATCTCCAATGCAAATAATGTTTATTGTGGTGTGCTTAGTGTTTGAAATATCCCAAAAATATGAAGTAAATTTTTTCTCTAAGTCAACCAGAAACAACCATTCATTCATTCCAAATACCCAATCAAAGTGTAAGGAAAATGTATCAAAAGTCATTAGAGTACAAAACAAAGTCATAGAATACGAAACAATGGTGGACGTTATGCGATCATGTCGGGCCCTTCCCTTTCGAACCAGATGTACCTGAAAACATTAAACCACAAACTGTAAGCACAAAGCTTAGTGAGTCCCTCAAAATAACACATAACACATACATATAAATAGGCCCCGCCCACAGCATAACGGGACCCGCCCGAACTGCATACGGGCTCTGCCCACAGCATAACGGGCCCCGCCCAAAAAGCATAACGAGCCCTGCCTACAGCATAACGGGCCTCACTCAAAACGATATATAAAACATACATACACATGCAATAGTCATAAAGAACAAGCACATACATGCATATCAACAAGTGTCACAAAGACCACTATCATCCTACAAACATAATCCAGTAGGCCGACATTGGTGTCTTCGACCCATAAGTACAATGAAGAGACTCACCTCAATTCGTCAACAAATAGATCTCACTCATGAGCCTATGATGATAAAGTCTCTCCCACTAAAACATATCCAAAACCAAACTCTAATCAGCAATTAAGGTAATTCTCCAACTCATCAAGTCCAAATACCAAGATAAACCCTCATTTGGATAAAAGACCATTTTTCCTTTCTGAGTCCTCAAACCCTCACAGTTAACCAAAAGTCAAACTGGTCAAAAAACCAACGGTCAACCTTTCATTAACTTACGCACTACGTACACCATACTCTATGCAGGGCGCAAAGTCCTTTTCCAGAAACGGGCCAAAATCGAGCTATGTTGGGCGTAGCTCAGATTACTCCCCACGTACTAAGTTGTCAAGCAAAATTCACTTTAAGCTCTTAATACATAAAGACAAGCCATCAAATGCTCAGATCTGGTCCCAATAAATGTCCAAATGATAAAGTTGATGACTTTATGCCTTTGCATGGCTACATGGAACTTAAAATCAAACCATAACTTTCTAACTTCTTCTAATGTCCAAAATCTCTTACATGGAAGAAAGGTAGAAACCAAGATCCCATTTTTATGTCCTAACAACTTTAGAACAACGGAAAACTAGCAACCTGAAGGTCTGGAGTAGCTTATACTCACAAGACACAAGATTATGGGACAAAAAGGCATGAAAATCAAGATACTAAAGAGATTCTAGCACATGTATCAACAAGTTACAAGCTTTATACCTCCTAGAGTTGAGAAATGCAATGTAGGTTTTGGATCCACATGCTTAAGCTTCAACAATTTTTCAAGCTTGGACTTCTCCTTCTTCAAGATGCACCCAAAACACACAAGGCTCAAAAGTTGCTCTAAGGGACTAGGGTTTCATGTTATATGCTCAAGAGGGTGGAGGCTAGTAGTAAGAAGGGCCTCAAGGAGGTTAAGGACCTTAAATAGGGTCCAAGACCCCGAAATTAGGATTTGCACCCTGCGTAACTTGGGTTACGCCCCACGTAGGGCAACAAACCCCCGCATCCTATTAATGAGTGTCACAACTAGGAATTCTAATGCTTTTGTAAACATTAAACAAGGATAACATTGTAACTAAAACTTGAAAGCAATGTATGATGCTTAATCAATGACAACAAAATTCCATCAAACACTCTATACAACACTTCAAATAGTCAACAAAAGATTGGAAACCCTAAAAAAATCCCAGTTTGAGTCCATTATGGACTAGGATTTCCTTATTGGGCCATAACAAATTCGATTAGCTTTAATGGACTCAAATCCATTTTCTTATGCAAAATTGGGCCGTGATCTACTCTAAAGTCCCAATGGGCCGAAAATCATCAAATTGGGCATCATATTACGGACTCAAGCACAAAAGGCCCAAGCCATTCTCTTCCTTCTCTCTCTCTCTCTCTCTCTCTCTCTCTCTCTCTCTCTCTCGACCCAAGTAGAAAACAAAAAAGGGGGAAAAATGTAATTAGGGAGGGTTGACCTTAGAGGTGTCACCTCCTTATTACACCCCATATCTCCATGCAAAACCCAACATGTATCCATGTTAGTCACTTCATCACCTCTCTCTTCCCCTCTCTTTTTCTTCTTCGGCCGAGAGCACAAGGAAAACACACACATACAACTTCAAACTTCTTCCAAACTCTCTCAAGCATTCTTCTCCTTCTCACTCCAAAATATCGAAATTTTCCTTGTGCATCAAAGAGGGTTTCAAGAGAATATCATCACTTCTTGGTAAGTTATACATATGCAAGGATTATATAACTCTTTTCTCATGATTAGATCCCTTATCTTAAACATTTGTGATAATCACACTCCTAGAATCACCTCAAGTTCGAGATCCACATCAAGGTGTTGCTAGGACCAAAACTCTTCCATTTCTTTCTTCAAAACCGACAACAACAAGAAAAGGTGAGTTCATACCCCTCTATTTTCGGTTTTCATATGATTTATGGGGGAGAATACAAGTAAAATGTGAAGATCTATGTGTATTTGTATGTTATGTGTGATTTCTTGTGTTTTTGTGGTAAATATGTGCTAAAAATGAAGGATATTTCGAGATCTATAGTTCAAGAAGGGAAAATATGTGCTCTAGGTCATATTTCACTTAACATGTCAAGATAAACTACTATACAAGCTTTAAAATAACAAACTACAACATAAAACTCATTATTGGACTATTTTTGTCAAATAAACAAAAGTTTGGGAAAAAGTTGTCATTTACGGTTTTTACAAGGTTCAAAATGTCAAAACAGTTAAAATGGAGGTTTTTATGAACATTATGCTTTTCAAAGGACTAAAAATGTAAATTGTAGCCTATTGGGCTAAAATTTTGGGCTTTTCGACCCATAGGCCCAAAGTTGCGAAAAATATGGTTTTTAAGGGGGCTGAAATTGTAAATTTCTCAAAACAGTGAGTAGAAAGGTAAATAAATCTATTTATGGGGTTAAAATGACCTTATTTGCTAAAAAGGATTGAAAATGCAAAGATTTTGGATTTTGGGTAAAAAGTGTAAACATTACGAAAAGTGTGGATTAAAATGCAAGTCTTTTAACTAAAGGGTTGAAGCTTTCTAAAATTTACTTTTGGGCTTAAAACATTATTTAAATAAGTGTTTGGGTCAAAAATGTCAAGAAAAATAGTTCAAGGACCTAATATGTCATTTTTTTATAAAAAGGACTAAAATTGCCAACTTTACCAAAATAAGGAGCTGAATAGGTCAAACTAATATTTTTGTTCAATTATGTTAATAATAAAATAATCGGGTCAAAATATACAAAACTTTATAACTTATGGGTTTTAAATAGAAAAATAACTATTTTTATAAATCTATGAATCGTTATAAAACAAATTCGTGATTTTTACGACATATCAATTAAACAACTCGCAACATTAATACTATACAAAACAAGTAAACATTCTAATGGTTGGGCTTGAGAGATTGTAATCATGCTTATTGGGCCTTCGTGACTCATTAACATGACTTTTGGGCTCAACATTAATAACACATGTTATTGGGCCTCTTGTGACCCAATTACATGCTTAAAGGACACTCAATGGTTTTTACATGCTATTGGGCCTCAGTGGCCCATTAGCATTACTAGTAAGGTCCAAATAAACTTTATGCGAAATGGGCCAACGCGCCTTTCGTACACTCGACAGCCTTAAATAACATACGAAATTAGTAGGGCCTAGTAGTCCTCTTCTCCTCGTCTGTTAGGCTTATCTTCTCTTCAAGTAAACTAAAATCAGATCATTAATCAAGGTTAATCAAATTCATGTGGATTAAGTGAGTAATAACGGGTGACACCAATAAGTGTCGGTCGTAGTCTGTAGTTGTAATCAAAGTCTCCTGAAGGGAGAGCGAGAGTTTGTGTATAGATCTATACGGGGGTGACTCCCCCACACCTAAGCTGTTCGCTACAGTTAGACTCGGCCAGTCTAGGGTGACAAAATCTTAAGATCAAATTTCGGTGTTCATTAGAATGCCAAGACAGACGAACTAGTCATTATCATGCATGGTTATAACGACTCACGTAGAAATCCGATATCATTTAAGTAATCAAGGAAAATCATATTCATTCGATGTGACGATACAATAATGCAAAACAATCACAACTTTTTATCGGAAAACATCGGGTTTTCCGGGGAAACCAACCTTACTCATTTGTACTTTCAAAAACTATAATGCAAAACTTCTCGTTTATTCATGTTTTGAAATCATTCACGCATATACTTACATGATCATCACAACATTTTCAAGAAAAGTCTTAATACAGAAAATATCAGATTTTCTGGGTTTTAACGAACGACATAAACTATTTTACATCAAAAACACTTATGAACTCACCAACATTATATATGTTGACCGTTTTTAAAATAACTTGTATTCTCAGGTAATCGTTAGACAAGGAAGCATCCAATGTGTTGAAAGTTTCTTTTGTAGTTGCTAATCACCAAACACTTTATATTTTGGGATCATGTAATGTAAACCATGTACTTGATGTAAACAATGCCAGTTGTACTATGTAATGTTTGGTGATGAATGTGTTATGTTTCATGTATATTTATTGTGATAATATTTCAATTTAAGTCACGCGAGCCCTCGGACGTTTCCGCCGTCTGGTTCGGGGGTGTGACAATGAGTTACACCATGCGTAACTAGGTAACTATGCCCCACGTAGAGTCACAACTCACAATTCTCAAAAATAATTAATCTTAAAACATGAAGAAATGTACATGAGAACCGGGTGTTACATATATCTCAATCATATAAATTTGTATAAAATCATTCATGATGTCTACTATAAAATTCAATATGGCATAATTTTTTACATTTAGGTATGCATGATGCTGACATTTCGTCTACCGTGGCATTCGATATAACAAAATTATCCAATTTAAATGTGCTCTAATGATGGAATGATAACCCCCAAAAAGGTTTAGTAAAAATTGCATATTCTTGCACGATAACCACACATAATGAGTATTATCCTTCAAGGTTTTTACACACTCAAATGGTTGCAAGCCGCAACGTAGAATTTCATGATTTAATGCAGTTATCATTCGTTCCAACAACAATGGAGAACCCAATAAACACGAAACGAATTATCAGAAACATAAAGAAATTTGTTTTGTAGAGGGAAAGAAGAGAGAGCAAAGAAAGCTACGATTTTGGTTCAAGAAGTCCTATTTATACTAAATCCCTAAAAATCGAATTAAAGATGACAACAACACTATCATGACGTGCCACATGTCACAAATTGACCATATAAAAAACTTGGAGCTTACCCAATTCCTCAAGACTTATAAAGACTTCCTTGTGCCTATCCATGAAGTCAACGTGTGGTTAACACACTAGCGGGGTCGATCCAATTTGAACCTTGTTTAGAATAAGGGCTCCTGAACCTTGTTTAGAATAAGAGCTCCTCAATTTACAACAACCGATGCAAAATGTGTCTAAATTATGTCATTTTGCGAACTTCACGTCTTATGTCTACAACCTGGTTAGGCACGTGTGAGCTTGATCCATTCCTTAAGGTTCACTAAAGCCTTTGAAGGCTTAAGGTAGAAAAAACTTATAAACCCACAAAAAATTATCCCTAGCAATATAGGTTAAAGGTAATTTAGCAACCTGTAAATATAACCTATTAAATTTCCAACAAAATTATCGTTCAAAAAAAAAGTTTCCAACAAAATTAAACTGTTTTTAGAAGTTTCACTCATTTTATAATATTATATACAATGTGTAATATAATAACCGTATATAAACTAACCTATGTGAACAAAATAAACGGATGTTCATAAACATAAATAAACAAACGATGTCATTATTTCTGTTTGTTTGTTTAATTAAATGAAAAAAAGGCATGTTATATATGTTAATTTATTAAATAAATGAAAATAAACAAACTTTCTACCAACCGATTGTATTTAATAAGCGGACATAAATAGAATCCGCAGACTTTCAAAATGGTCGATGAGTGAATCATCTTTTCCTCTTCCATGCTTGTGTAAATTGTAAAATGATGTTTATATTACCTAAAGTGGAATGAATATGAGTTTGTTTGGAGTCACGTTTTTGAACCTATTTTGTAAATAAAACGTTAAATTTATTTATTTTTTAAATAAAAAATAGAAAAAATAGTCAAGAAAGGTCGAAAGCCATGCGCATTGAATATTTGATTCCATATATACGAGTCCAATAACGAAAGCAAACGTCAATTTTGGATTTCCTCGTGGATTCTTCACTGGATTTCCTTATAACAATCTGGCAATGATCTTTAGTTGATTCACAGAAATTAGGGCACAATAGAAGGCAAATGTGTTGTTCAATGTTCACTGTGGCTGTTTGAAGAGGTAAAGTGAAGGGTTTTTTCTTTGGAATTTGAAGTGACCATCATTATAGTAGTAGCATTGCCGTCGTAACAGACGATGATCATGGCAAACAGTAGTTACTCGTACGTATATCAGTTTGATGGCGATGATGGTTACGGGTTTGCTTCACCCGCCAATGACGACGAGCCGGTGGACTTGGTATCGTTGTTTAATACGATTGGGGAGAAATCCCGCGGCGACCATTCGGAGGTAGATTTAGCATATTTGTTTGTTTGTTTTGGTTGCGACTTAAGTGATTTGGAGTTTCATCGTGTGAATTTGCTTAGAGTTTGTGAAAGTTGTTGTAATGTGGTTGATTTATGGATGTGTATATGCATGTTTTTACATGAAAAGCTCGAAACTTTTGGTATTCTTTCGGATTCTTAAGCGATTTAAGGTGGATTGGTGTCTGATTTTGTGAATCTGTTAATGTAGTTGAGTTGTGGATGCGTATGTTTTGACATGAAGAATTAGACGTTTTTGAAAAATAATTTGTAAACTTTTTTTTTCTGGATTTCAAGCGATTAGAGATGAATTGCAGTATGATTTTGTAAATTTGTTTAAAAGTGTATGTCATTGCTGTAAACTATTCAAAGACGAGTCATCTAATTTTTTCATGTATAGGTTGAAAAAACTAGGGTTTGCGTTTCCTTGAACAGTTTCTATGCAATGTAACTTGTGCAGAATGGGCTGGCTGATCCTTCATCAACTACTATACCCTGTAGTGAGTTGGCTTCACATGGTGCTAATGAGCACTCTGAAACCCACAATGGTAATCTTGTCTTCTAAACAAATTTATGATTATTTATCACAGTTTTTTGAGTTTGATCCATGTATGCCTCCTTTTTCAGGTTCACTTGCATTTCCCCTTTTGCGTTACTCAGAAGCCTCAACTTCAAGAACTTTCTGTTCAAGTGATTCATCTATTACTGATAAACTTACATTTAATTTTGGCTATGAAAAGCTGGAATCTGAATTTCATCCAGATGTTTTTCCAGCACATGTTAGTTCTTGGTTAGCAACTCATGGAGGTACAGATACTCAAGATTTTATGTCATTTAGCCAGCATGCCATTAAAGAAACTTACTTCGAGAGAGATAATAGGAATGATGTTTTTGGGTTTACTACTATTAGAAATGATAATCATCAACTGATGGATAATTATGAGATAACTGATGGAATATTTGACGATTCAGTTGGAAACAGTTTATTAGAGGCCTCTGTCAACATGGAATCCCAATTCATGGATCTTAGTATGTATCCTGACATTCTCCATGATCCCAATGACGAGTTTTGTATGCCATCTATAACAAGCATAAATGAACCATATTGTTTTGGTTCAAATGATACTTATGGCATGTTTTTTGATAATAAGATTGAATCAGAGGAACATTTAGTTCATGATATATCAATAAACAGTGTGATGAATTATGAGACTGTATCTGAAAGCCCATATGTCAGTGTTGAAGGCAGTAAGACCTTTTTGGCAAGTGGTGAAAGTTGTTTGGGTGAAGCTGCTGAAGAGTCAAGAAATGGATTTCATGGGTTTCATAGGTGTAATATGGCAAAAAGAACACAAGTGGTTGTGAACAATGAAAACCATGGTACACATGTTCCAAATGGGAATTCACTTGTCTCTGCACAAAAAACATCTGCAAACATGCGAAAAAATGCAAAGCTCAAAAAGAATGATGAAAAGTCTGCTCATCAAGCTTCATTACAGTTACAGGTCAGTAACGTCTAGTGGTTCAAAATCATGTCAAAATGTTTATGACCCTCATTTGCAACTTTTGGAGGACTGACAGTGTATTATGTTTAGATTGAAATTGGTTCTCATGATGTTCATGTTGTTTAGCTGCAGGAAACATCTCTAAAAGATGGTGGCTTGACAGTTCCCCTTTTGAAACACCAGGTTTGAAAGTTGTGTACAAACCTTTCTGTTTCAGGGTTCCAAAAACTGGAAAAATGGAACCTTCTTTTGAACATAAAGTTGATAACTTTTTATATTTTACTATGTAACAGCGGATTGCTCTGTCATGGATGACAAAGAAAGAGACAAAAAGCAGACACTGCTGTGGAGGAATTCTTGCAGATGATCAAGTTTATATCCGTATTCCTTTTTTGTTTTTTGTTTATTTCATTCTGAATCAATAGTATAATCTCTGTATACACTGTTTATTGATTATTTATATTGCAGGGGCTAGGCAAAACAATATCTGCAATCGCCCTTATTCTCAAGGAAAGGTCTCCTCCATTATCTATTGAAACAAAAGAGAAACAACAAGAGACTTTGAATTTAGATGATGAAGAAGAAGATGTTATTTTGCATACAAACAACATAAAAACCAGTCTAGCAGCAGGGACACTTGTCGTTTGCCCTACAAGCGTTCTTCGTCAATGGAACGAAGAGTTACAGAACAAAGTAACCAACGAATCCAATCTCTCTGTTCTCGTCTATTACGGAGTAAATAGAACCAAGGATCCAATCGAGGTGGCAAAGTACGACGTCGTCCTCACCACATACGCGATTGTATCCATGGAGGTTCCAAAACAACCGCTGGTTGAAGAAGACGATCGTCAAACTCAAACAAAGCTCTCACCCAACAAGAAAAGGAAATATCCTCCTACCACCTCTGTCGAAAGTTCCAATTCTGATTTAATTAATCGGCCTCTTGCAAAATTAAGATGGTTTAGGGTTATACTGGATGAAGCTCAGAGTATTAAGAATTACAAAACACAAGTCGCTAGGGCTTGTTGGGGCCTTCGAGCTAAACGCAGGTGGTGTTTATCCGGAACGCCGATACAAAACTCCATTGACGATCTTTATAGTTACTTCAGATTCTTAAGATACAATCCGTTTTCTGTATTCAAATCGTTCTGTTCCCAAATCAAAGCCCCAATTCAAAGGAATCCGGTATCTGGATACAAAAGGTTACAGCTTATCTTGAAGACGATTATGCTTCGACGCACAAAACGTAACTATAATCTATATTTCTTTCTTTTAGAGTATATTACATTTTGGTCCCTAGGTATAGCTTATTTTTCAATTTTGAGTTTTGTAACGTCAAAAAGGCAAAAAAATCAGGACCAGAATTGCAAAAATCAGCTATAATAAGGGACCAAAATGTAATTTAATTTACTCTGATGAAATTTTTTCAGGTACACTTGTTAAGGGAGAACCGATTATCTGTTTGCCGCCAAAAACCATTACCCTGAAAAAAGTCAACTTCACAGAAGAAGAGCGTGACTTTTACCGCAGTCTGGAGGCTGAATCACGTGCTCAATTTGCAGTTTGTTATTTTTACTTTTAACCTTTTCTTTTTTATTAATAGTTTTAAATATTGTTAAGTTTTTAATGTGTATTCAGAAATATGCTGCTGCTGGGACTGTGAAACAAAATTATGTAAACATATTGTTGATGCTTCTTCGGTTAAGACAAGCATGTGATCATCCTTTACTTGTTAAAGACTGTATCCCAAGTACTAACAGGAGATTGTCTGTTGAAAAAGCAAAAGAGCTTCCATCTGAAAAACTAAACACTCTTCTTAAATGTTTGGAAGCTTCTTTAGCGATTTGTGGAATATGTAATGTATGCACAACAACATTTCTAAACCCTAAAAAGTAACTAAAACCCTATTTGACATGATGAATTTGTTGTATAGGATCCACCTGAAGATGCTGTTGTAACAAGTTGTGAGCATGTGTTCTGCAATCAGTGCATCCTGGAACATCTTTCAAGTGATGATAATCAATGTCCATCTTCAGATTGCAAAAATCTCATTAGTAAATCTTTGGTTTTTTCTAAATCAACACTTGAAGTTTCTTCTGGTTCACCAGAATCTGAGCCTTGTTTGAAGATTGAACCCATTAAAGCACTCGATTCCTCCAAAATCAAAGCTGCCCTCCAAGTCCTCCAATCCATTTCAACACCCAAGGGTATTTTAGGAAATGCACCCGTAAAGGAGAAAGCGATAGTCTTCTCACAATGGACAAGAATGCTGGATTTGCTTGAAGTTTGTCTTAAAGATTCCTCAATTGGCTACCGAAGACTGGATGGTACAATGTCTGTTGTCGCTCGAGATAAAGCAGTGAAGGATTTCAACACTCTACCTGAGGTTTTGTCTCTTTTTTGTGAAATTACTCTTTTACCCTCAGACTTGTTATGATTTATAATTTTATATCCTAAGATTAGATTGTCTTGTTTTGTAGGTAAGTGTTATGATTATGTCTTTGAAAGCGGCTAGCCTTGGGTTAAACATGGTTGCTGCTTGTCATGTAATTCTACTGGATCTTTGGTGGAACCCAACAACCGAAGATCAAGCAATCGATCGAGCTCACCGAATTGGCCAAACTCGCCCGGTTACAGTTTTACGACTCACCGTTAAAGATACTGTTGAAGATCGCATTTTAGCCCTTCAGGTAGGTATAATACCTGGTAACTGGTAACCGGTAGCTGGTAGCAGGCGGGACTAAAATTGCAAATTGTTGTTTTTGTAGGAAAAGAAGAGAAAAATGGTAGCATCAGCGTTTGGAGACGATGATAATGGTGGTTCGAAGACGCGTCTCACTGTTGAGGACATGAGATATCTATTTCAAGCATAATTACGGGTATGTCCTTTGTCTACACCCGGGGAAAGGAATACACTTAACTTAAAAAAAAACGTTGATTTTTTGTGATCTCGCTAGTTTTTTTTTGCGTGTCACCTTTAATCGACATTATTAACATTGGTTTTTTGGGATTTTCTTGGATTCTTGAAAGAATATATATTGTTTTGGAAGATGGTGGATGATCTATAGGAGGTTGGTGTAGTCTATGGCAATCTATTTTGAATATGACAGTTTATGAAATTGTAAGCATTGGAATACATTTTGGTTGACTTCAACATATTCATATTATCCATTTGACTGATTGAAGATTAAGTTATAACTGTTAGGTAAACAAATTTGATTTGTCAACTTTATTATCAATTATCATCTTATAAAACTAGAGGTTTGATGTTTGACTTTACTAATAATCTGTACAACATTGTTAAATAGTCTCTATCAAAAACACTAGTTTTTGGCATATACCCGGTAATAAGTTAAAAAACTCCTTAAATATGTTTTAGCCAAACACCCTCTTAATAAAAGATTTAGATAAAAAGCAAACGACTCAAATGGTTGAAACCAACTCAAAATATCTTTTAATGCATACAATCTTTTATATTTATTTGAAATATTATATTATAATTGTAACACTGATATAATTTTTTTTATCTCTCCAACTAAAAAGATTGCTAGTCAATGGTTATTTATTAAAAGTAATTTCAAAATCAAGGTGTTTAAACCTTTATTATATGTAAGATTGTTGATATGCTATCTACTTGTTCGTTGTATGTCATTCACCATATTAGTTTAGTATGTGTCTATATAGGTTACAGTTTAGAGATATTCATGGAAATGATCAGATTTCGTAGTTACAATTTTTTTCTTTGAGAAGTTGCGAAAATTGCCATAAAATAACACAATTTCGGAACTCATATTTGTAGTTAGTAGTTCTATCTAAATGAATTCGCAACTAAGCCAAGCATGGTGTAGACTTTTTTTTTTTCTTTATATGGTTGGCACAAATGAAGCAATTAAAATATTATATATATGGTGTAATATAAGGCGATATATAGGTATTTTGTTGTTTATATATGAGTTTCGAAACAATGAACAAGTTCGAAACTCTTATGATTTGCACCTTTGCAACTTCATATTGTCTCTCCTTGTTGAGCTTTGAAGTGATTTTTTTTTTTTTTTTTTTTTTTTTTTTTTTTTTTTTTTTTTTTTTTGTAAAATTGATTAATAAGTTGCTAAACTTGGAATATAGTCGTCTTCCAATTTGAAACATTGGTCATTACCTAGAACAACTACAAAAATCATATAAACAATATCTAAATTCATAGTATAAATTTGGATGAAGGTTTGAACTTGTTTTTGAGGTTGTTTGTGCTTGAGTTGTTATTAAACCAAAATGAATTAAGCCCACACAATAATGAATTGTAGGATGTGCGTGTTCTACAATGGGTAGTCTGAGAACACATAGGGAGAAGTTGGAACTTTTATGTGACTTTTGTGTACATGTTCATCTCATGTGCTCAATTGAGGACGATCGTAGAAAAACCATTAGAATAGGGCATTCGTCGATAATTGAAAATGAACACAACTGGAAGTCTTCAAAAAGGTACATGAAAGAGATAATAATTGAAATTGGCGTCGACCTGTCCTCAAAGACTTCAAAAATATAGTCAGAGAACGGAGGTCATGAAAAGTCCTCAAAATTAGGTATACAAGGAAGTTGCACGGATGAAACACCATATATTATAACAAATTATGTTAACGGTAGCTATATTTTTATTATTGTCTTTATCTTTAAAAGAATATGCAATACATTTTATTCTATTAATTTATTCAATGAACAAAAAAGAAGTTGCACAATCAGATTATTGTTTGATTTTATTTATTCACGACTGTTATTTGTCTTTATTTATATAAAACACGTCAAACATCATAAATTTCTAAATGTTAAAAGTCTTCATCGTTCCTTTAGTCATTCTTGGCTAATAAGAGCGAGTTCATTGTTTCTTGGCCTTTCCATGATTCTCCACCTCCAGGATACTATTCTTGGTTTAAAGGAAACTCGGATGTCCATAAGTACAATTATCTTGTAGTTTATTATTGCTCATAGCTTGTTTATGGTTACTTCTCATATCTATGGATTTTTTTACGCTTTCCTTAATTGTTAGGACAAAGGTACACCAACTTGCAAGCCACTTCTAGTATCACATGTTTTGGGTATTGGATCTTGCATGATTTTTGTTCTTGGCTAGATGGCATCAGATGTGAACAAGTTAAACGATTTTACAAAAAAAAAAGATAGATCTTCTTCATGAACCTTCGACACTATGTTTAGAAAGTTTAAAGAATTTGCATTATAAAAGCATATAGAAACAACATTATAGATAGCCACAAACTCAAAAACTGAGTTTGAATTTTTATATATTTTGTAACTTTTCTTATATAGTTCGAAATTATGACAAAATCCATTTCAAAACTAATAATTTTCTTTGAAACTCATACTATTTGTCAAGAAAAAAAGATTTGCTGACAAAAGTTGTTTTCAAAACTCATAATGTGTTTCGATTTTCGAAAACCCACCAATTTTGTAACTTGGTAGTTATTTTGGCAATTTATCAAAAGGGTAATCAAAATTTTAAATATAATTAGAAACAAACTTAGTTCTCACAGAAAAATGGGTTGTAACCGAAAGATTTCAACAAGGCAAAACAACACCCACCCTTAGAGGTGGGCATTATTTGGTTTGGAACCGAAAAAGTTGAAAACCAAACCATACTGAAATCAAATTTGGACCTAACCACATTTAAAATTTGATTTTTGGTTTGGATTTTTACCAATCCAATCCAAATCAATTCAATTCAATTTATCTAATTTACTAAAAAACATATATTTTGATACTTTTAAAATCAAACTAAAAAAAAATAAAAACCTATGTTCAACGATTCAATTCAACGTTTACATTTTACAAATGACATCGTGATCCCAAAGCTCTATGGTTGTGTTTAGTTACGGAAAAACAGTTTTCATTTTTCGTTTTTTGTTTTCCCTTTTCAGTTTTCGTTTTCCGTTTTCATTGGAAAATTTGGAAAACGCGTTTAGTTAAAACTTATTCGTTTTTCATTTTCAGTTTTAGAAAATTAGAAAACGTGTTTAGATGTGTATTTTTCTATCGATTTTCATTTTTAGAAAACGGTAGCGGTGGTAGGGTGGGCGTGGGGACAGTGGCGTTGGTGGGGGCAGCGGCAGGGGGTAGTGGTGGTGTCGATGATGGCGACGGTGGTGGTGGTGGCAGCGGGGTGGCGGCAATTGTGGCAGTGGTGGTGATGACAGAGGTGGTGCTGGTGATGGGGTGGTGGTGATGGTGATGGTAGGTCGGTGATTGTGGTAGTGGTGTTGGGTGTGTGTGTGTGTATGTGTGTTTGTGGGGGTTGGTGTGGGTGTGTGTGTGTATGTGTGTTTGTGGGGGTGGGGGTGGGTGTGTGTGTGTTTGTCGGGGTGGGGGTGGGTTTGGGAGTGAGTGTGGGTAGGTAGGGGTGTGGTGGGTTGGGAGTGTTAAGGTGAGGGTAGGTAGAGGTGGATGAGGTGGGAGTGGGTGTGTGTTTATATTTTAGAAAAAATTGGAATTAGCCAATGTGAAACATGATTATCTCGGTTTTCCAAAATTTCCACTTCTTTGTAATTTTAGCAAATGGAAAATTTTCATTTTCCGTGAAAAATTTAGAAAAATAGACGAACTAAACGCGTTTTCAAAATTCTCATTTTTCTTGGAAATTTTTTCCGGAAAACGACAAATTTTTCCGCAACTAAATGCACCCTAAAAGTTTCATCTCTTGGTCTCTTTTACTTTTGTTATGTTCAAGCAAGAGTTTGGTTTCCTTATTTCAAACCGAAGTGTAATTTGGTTTCCGATTGGTCTAGGTTGTCTGAAATTTAATTTGGTTTGGTTTAGTTTTCCATATACACCAAAGAAATTTCAAAACGTCAAAAATCATAAACACAACCAATTCCCCCCCTCCCCCCCCCCCCCCCCCCCCCCCCCCTCGTTTACCTCACATGACCCTTAAAATCTCATGTTTTCTACCCCCAAAATCCCTAATAACCCCTACCCCGTTTAACCCATCTTAAACTGATTAAATAACCAAATGTCTAAATATTATGAACAAGTCCCACATGCATGTTGACTTAAATAATAGTCTACCTTTACATCATGATGTTACATTTAGACTTTCGACTTTTTGTGGAAATTATTCCCCATCCTTTGCAACCAACTCCACATAATAGAAAATCCCTTACAATCTTACATAAATATATATCCATCAATTCTCGACATGCATACTTTCATATCCAAACAATAATAACTTTCACTATACAAATTCCATCTGTTTATGGACCATACCACTTGATCATAGAGACAAATGTTTCTATTCAACCGCAGGTTCGTCTTTTTCTAATGCTTAATTGTTTATATATGTTATTTTGTAAGTGTGTATTATGAGTAATGGATTTATGTTTCTCGATAAAAAAAATGCCATGATCAACTAGAAAATAATTTCGTATTAGTTTCTTATTTTTATTACAAAATATATCTCATATGATGTATATATGAGATATAATAAATTTTCATTTAAGCATAAATAATTGGACAACTGTTATTTAATACTTATTATAACTTAATGGAATATATTATATATTTGTTTTGTTATATTGAATCATGTAAAACTTTTACATGTCATTTTATGTCAATCATTTTACATTCCTATTTAACTTATCTCTTGGGTTTTATCAAGCATAATTTTTTATAATCAACTGGTTTATAAGCTAACAACTACTTTTTTGGCTCCATGCCAAACATAGTCTAAAGCTAGCATTTTTATTATAAAAAGTAATATAATCTATGATTTCTTACAACAACAAAAATAAAAATAGAAGTTTAGGTCCAGTTTAAGGAAGAAAGCTGATATGGCAACGTAGAATCACCAATTGAACCAAGTACTGTATTTGGATGGAATCCACCAATCCCTTGTTGAACTGGATTCATCAAAGATATGAAGGAACCATTTCCATCCATCATTCCATTCATGTCATCATCGGAATGAAACCTTTTCTCGGAGGACTCAAGATTCCAATAGTGAGTAGTCGGGAATGAGCGTTTCCCATTATTCAAAATCAGCGAAGAAACCCCCGATTTCATTGAAGAACTTGTAGAATCAAACTTGGATATAGAGTTGCTTTGTCGAATTCTTGATCCATCTTCATTGTTAAAGATTTCAAAATACGTTTCGTGATTGTTTTCTGTTAGACCAATGGAGTTTGTAGCCTTTGAAGCAATAATGTTTTCCATATAATCGTTATCTGAATCTCTTTCCGCCGGTCTACTTGCATTGTTCTTCTTATATATACGACATAAAACCCATTCATCAAGCTACATTAATTTATACACAAAAAAGGACATTAATACAGTAGAAAAGAAAATGAATCTTGACCCTTTTTTATAAAGTTATATTAGTTTAGTTCATTTTTTGATTTAAATTATATCGATCGTATAAGAAGATATGAAGATAAATTATGGGCCCTTAATGATAAGTTTGGATTGTAGAAATGTATGTAGGAGAAATTTTGGTTTCTAGCCTTAAAATAGCAATAAGCATAATTGGACTATTTAAAGTCAAACTTGATAAAAGAATTAAAAATATATTCCTTGAATTTCACAACATATATATAATATCAAAAAACATTCTAAAAATTTATAACTAACGAGTGCAATAGAAAATTGGAAATGCCTTAAGCAATTAATCGAATAAGTATTTATTTATGCTATAAAACTTCATGGTATTAAACTATAGTTTGTTCCGTTTATATTTCCAATTTTTAAACAAAAAAACTACAAAATATACAATTTTGGTTTTCTAAAACAAACTAAAAACCAGACTCAAATTTTCAAATAGTGATCATATGCAAATGAGTTCTTGAAAAAAGAAGTTTAAAAAGCTAATTTCCAATAGTCAAACATTCTTTTTAGCTTATAAGGGTGGAAAAAAGCTGATAAGTCAATAAATTCTTTTGAAATTTAATCCCAGAAACCAAAGCTAGCTTACCCGTAAGGATCCCTTTTTGTTTGATAAATTGATGATGGGAGACTTGAAAGAAGCATGATCAACAAGTCGATATTCATGCATGATCCAATTGGTTTTAATCCCTTTCGGGGGTTTTCCACCATAGAAAACCAGAGCCTTTTTAACTCCAACCTTTTGATCTCCTCTTGAAGACAAGATTGGCTTATCAGTTCCAGTAGCTTTCCAATACCCTGAAGTTGCTGCACGATTAGGTCTCATTCCATTAGGGTATTTTCTATCTCTTGGACTGAAAAAATACCATTCTTGATCACCAAACGTAGCTTTACCTAACATATATAAAAACTACATTATTCATACAAAATCTAAACTTGATCAATGATCAAAGTACTAAGTCGAAAGATGATTACTTGGTAGCTCCCATGGATCAAACTTGTAAAGATCAACTTCTGCTATGATTGCAACAGGCAAAGGGGTTGATGAAGCTTTCTTCTTTAAGTAATGAACTACTAGTTCTTCGTCTGTTGGGTGAAACCGAAAGCCCGGTGGGAGATTTGGGTATTGTGAACATGTGGATGAATCGGTGCTTTCCATCTAAAGCTCAAGATTTTCCCCTAATCTTTTAGGGTTTTTGGTGTTATGTAAGATTTGTATCATGAGTGAAGAAATGAGACGTTTGTTGAAAACCCTAAACGATGCAGGAGTATTTATGTGTGGGGTACCATTTGTGATCTGACACGTGTAAAGGAGTAGGGTTGTTGTGGGTCCCATTTCATGAATTTAAGGTGTGAAGTTTTTGATGTCATGCTTTTCGTGTGTTAACAAACAATTTCCCTTTAAAACACCTTTAATCCTACATAATTACATATTATCTGTTATGCATAGGTGTAAGTGTAAACCATCTAATAAAAATGACAAAACTAAATCAAAATTTGGCTTATTTTGCTTTTATTTCGAGCCAATTTGATTATGTTTTACGTTTTAAAGTATTACAAATCGAGTAGTTTGGCGTGCTTCATGCTTTGATGTTGAACAAAGCCAAACTTGTCGTTTTCAATAGGATGACAACATTTTGTCAATGCTATAGTTTAATTATATGATATCTACAATGTGAAGAAACTTTATTATTATTATTATTATTATTATTATTTGAAATAAATGATTTATAATGGAAAATGACTTAATTTGAGCTAATCCACTGTATACTTTATTTTGTATTTGAAAAATTAGGCATATTTACTTTCAAAGGAATCCATTATTATATTTTATTTCCTGTTGGTTGATGAAATTGTAAATGAAAAACAACATCTAGACATTGATTGTATTTAATACTTTTCATTAGGACTATAAAAGAATCGAAGATTTATCAAGATGTTGAGCTAGAAATTTGTTTATGTTCGTTTATTTAATAAATAAACAAAACATGAACACAAATTCTCATTCGTTTTGTTAAACGAACGAACATGAACAATAGTCTCATTCGTTCATTTATGTTCGTGAACGTTCATTTATATTGTTCGTTTCCATGATGACATCACACAACCCAACGTTTCTGCCGTTAGTCGGGGTGTGACATTAAAAAACAATTGAACATATAAAATATACGATAACAATAAAGTGATATGCCTGCGAATCAACGATTGTTCCCCAAAAAATGTTACACGTCTGTCTTATAGTTCTTTGAATACATGTGATTTTAAAAACGTCAACATAAAGTTGGTGAGTTCACAGGTTTGTATATTTGTATCAAATGTATTTTTTTATACCAAAAGTTTATGTTTTTACAATACATAAGTACTTCCAACTTATATTATATGTGTACTTTTACCCAAAAAAGTAAGTGTTTTTGTGTATATAAGTAATCTTTCAACTTATATTATATGATTTTAGGCTAGCATTATCAACGTTACAATAAATTGTTATAACCGAGCTACTGACGAGTTGTTGCCCCTCCTGATGTTTCATTGGATGTCATATTGTTTAGGCAATTATCACCCGTGACTTGACCGTCGATAGTTGTACCTAGCAAGCGCAAGTGGGGGTGTCAGCCCGTATAGATCTATACATAACTCTCGCACTCACTTAAGACTTAGCGGTTATAAGTTAGGGGTAACCTTAACATTAAATGTTCAAGTTTTCCATGCAAAAGTTTACATTGTATAATTATAATAATGTTTTATAAATATAATGATGAATTATTTCGTAAAATTAAACGGGTAAAGTAACGGCAGTGTATAATGATTATCCATATTATACAGGCAGAATAATGACAATGTAAAGCCAATATCCAAGCCTTAAAAATAGTATTTCCAATAATACAATTCATCGTTATACAATTGCGACAATTTTAGCTACATTTTTATAATAACGATATAAATAATAACATTTATAAAATAACGATAATACACAATCGATATTTATATAATAACTATTATTATTTAACATGTATTCTCCCCCGAAAATAGTAAAAGGTTTAAAATGGGGCCGTAAAACTCACCCACGAAGCATGCTTTAAAATTGTCGGTTTTCGTCGAAACAAGCGAGCAGCGCTTCGCTGTCAAACGAGTCGGGATATGCTCGAAAAAGAGATGAGATATCACTTGTAAGAACCTGAAATTTAGAAAGATTTGACTTTTAGTCAAATATTGACCAAAAGGCAAAATGGTCAATTATGAGAAAGAGATGAGATTATGAAGTTGTGACTTCATGAAAATGACCAATAAAAGTTTACGTAACAGATAAGAAGTTAGATGAGTAAGTTCAAGAGAAAGAATGCATGAAAATATGCAATTTTGGTCAAAAGGGTAAAATGTGAATTTTATGCTTTTTGGGGCCAAATTTGTGCCTTAATATATTAAGACCTGTATCTAGTCAGTGAGATATGACTTAACATAGTTGTAAAGTATGTTCCTACCTTCACGTGTACATAAATAACATCGAAAATGGGTTAGTAACGAAGAAGTTATGAAGGTTAGAAGTTAGGACGAAAATGTCCCAAGGTTGGAATGGAATCAGCCGAAAGGGCTACTGTCAAGCCGGTACCGCGATGCGGTGGGTAGATAACCACATCGTAGCGAGAGCTCGTCGTAAGAGAAATGACAATGTACTTTTCCCTGCGGCGTGATGTATGGGCACCACGACGCGGTGGGCAAAGTAGGATGTCATTGAGGAAGAGAACAACAACATGGCAAGCAGAATGCCACTGCGCGGCAACTAAGTGACTGCCTTCGATCTCGGGTCAAAAGGTCACTGCGGCATGGTGAACAGGATTCCGCGACACAGTGTCGTGTAGATTAAACCCCTGATCAGCCTCATTTTCGCTAAAACACTCATCATTCCTTAGAGGAGGGAGCTCCGGCGATTTGGAGGATGAAGGTGGGTCAAGTGGCGGTCCAAGGTGCTAGAAACAAGGAATGAACATCAAAAGCTTATGAGGTAATCGTCTCTTTCATCCTTAAGCTCTTAGGGCTTTAATGGGGATTTATAGAAGTGAATTAGATATTAATGATTACCCTTAAGAAGCTTGTTAATTGATGTCATTAGTAGTGTCTGGAAGCTTTGAAGAATCTTTATGTGTGATTTTAATGGTGAAATCTATATGTGTGTGTGTAACATCCCGACTCCCAGGTATGAGATTTATGGCTTAAAAGGAAAATTCCCATTTGGAACTCGTCGAGTTGATGGCCTCAACTCGACGTGTTGGAAGCTCTTGGGCCGCGCATATTTTTGGACCAACTCAACGAGTTGTTGAGGAAAACTCGACGAGTTGGTGGCTGATTGTGAAACCCTAATTTTTAGGGTGTTGCACCCAATTTAAAGGCCTTATGGCCTTTGGATGGCCTCTTTATCCACCCCTCTGTCCAGAGAAACCCTAATTCGCGCATTCTCTCCCTTTTGTGTGTGTGTGTGTGTAAGCTTGAAGAGTGAATTTTTGGTGATCTTCTGAAGGAGCTTGGAGTTTGAAGAGGTTTAATTGAGAGGAAGGCTGTAGATCTGGAATCTTCTCTGTTGTTGCAACCATTTTGAGGTATAAAGTCGATACCTTGGTCATTTATTGCTTAGATCTTCCCCTTGGAAGTTTATTGTCATTTTTGGCTCATATTGGAGTCATTCTTGGGTTTGGCCATTTCTTGAAGTTGCCACTTCAGATTTGGATGCTTTGTGGCCTCTTTGGGCTTAAAGCTTCAAGCTTTATCATGTTATAGGCCCCCCTTTATGCTTTAGGCCCTTGTTAAGCCTTCTTTGAGTGTTTTAGCCTCTTTGTGTTATGCATGGACGTAAAGTTAGCAACTTTACTTGGCTTTCCAGCTCTTGGGTTCCAGATCTGCATTCTTGAGCATTGGAAGTAGGGATGAAAGTGGGTCCAAACCCGAACCGGATAGAACCGGACCCGAAAAACCCGGAACCAGTTAACGAGATTTTGTAGAACCGGAAACCGGACCGGTATATAGGAACTGGTTCCGGTTCGGTTCCGGGTATGGTACCAGGTAAAGTGGGTCTAGAACCGAAAAACCCGGAAACATCAAAGTGGGTAGGTTGGAACCGGATAAAGTGGGTTTAGAACCGGAAAACCCGGAAAAACCAGAATTTTTTGGTAATTACTTACTACTCAGTGGGTTGAACTTTGAAAATTTTCATATTGATATCCTAACTTTGGGGGACTTTAACTCATTGAATATGAAACCAAAATTGACAAAATTATAGTTTAAAATCATGTACAAACTCTAAACTACACTCTGGAAAAAACCGCATGTCAATCCGACTTTAAACGAATGAGATATGCATGTGTTAACATTTTCACAAAATATAAAGTACAAAAACAAATAGCTGAAAAGTTGAAAATTTTCAGTTTTGAACTCCCAACTTCGGGGGACTATAAATCATTGAATATTAAACCAAAAATGACAAAAATATAGTCTAAAATCATGTACAAACTCTAAAATACAAGTTGGAAAAAACCACATCTCAATCCAACTTCAAACGAATTAGATATGCGTGTTTTAAAACTTTCACAGAATACAAAAAAACTAAAAAACTAAAAACTTTCAGCTTTGATATCTAGACTTTGAGGGACTGTAAGTCAATGAATATAAAACTAAAAATGGCAAATTTATAGTCTAAAATCATGTACAAACTCTAAACTACACGTTGGAAAAAACCACATGTTAATCAGAGTTGAAACGAATGAGATATGCATCTTTTAAACGTTTCACAAAAAACCGGTTCCGGCCCTAAAAGTGGTTCTGGTTCCTAACACCGGTTCCGGTTTTTAGACCCGGTTTACCCGGACCCGATGGAACCAAACCCGGATTACCCGGAACCCGGATAAAGCCAATTTTTAAACCCGGAACCGGAACCGGTTCTATATATTTCGGTTCTAACGGTTCCGGTTCTGGTCTGATTCCGATTCTAGTCCGGTTTTCCGGTTCTAAATCTCATCCCTAGTTGGAAGGGACGAAAAAGGACTGAATGAGTTGAGTTGGGAAAACTCAACGAGTTGTCCTGACAACTCAGCAAGTTCGCTCGAGTTTTCCCGCTATTCTGGATACTGTAGGAACTCGACAAGTTGTCTTGATAACTCGACGAGTTGGCTCGGGTTTTCCTCATTTCTCTAAGTACTAAAGGAACTCGACGAGTTGGTAGGTGCAGGCGACGAGTTGGGTCAACATGGACTGT